ATAACGCAGACTGTTGATAAATCGTCCACCAATCCTGACCCCACATTTCTCCTCATAGAGCCCAGCCTCCCGGATAATCTGTACTGTATACAGGTTGAAAAGGAACGGAAATAGGACACATCCGTGAGATGGTTATAATTTCTGTATTTGAATAGTGGATACAAAGAGCAATCTGAAATGCATCTAAGATTGAACAGTATGTATCTAGCAATTGACAATCTGGACTGAAATGGCAACGTACTGGCCTTACTGTTCATATTTAGTTTTTTAGGGCACTAACTTTTTGTAGGCCACTGGCTGTGCCCCAACCTTGGGGGATAAGATCATTCTAGGGTGTAAAGATTATGAGATGCCAGCTTATCAATTCAGCAGCCAATAGACTGCAGTCCTGCATCTCATCTTTGAACAGCTGGTGTTGGTAATACTGGGACTGGGATCAAGGTTGAGACATTCACGAGTTCAGGAGAGATGTTCAACACAGCCTTTGCTGCTATAAGAATGTAACGCACCACATCTGCAGTCTCTCAATATCAACGCACAAGAAACTTAGTTGTCAATATTACACAAATAAAAATAGGTGCAAAGTCATTAGTGGAAGTAAACGTTGATGCAAAACAGGAGATCATTAAATGTCGTCAAAAATACCATCAATTAGAAATTTTAAAATAAGCAAATACATTTTCTTATCTGTAAGAGGTGTGAGGCTTCAATAGCAGTATTCGCCCCCCCCCCTGCCCCCCAAAGCTGTAGGAGCCTACTTCTTCTATCAACAAAATGATAGAAAACTTGACTCATCCAAGAGCAGGAGAGGAAATCAGCCCTGACCTGGCAGAATATATGACCCTGATTTTCTCCAGTTTTGTTCTGAGAAAGGTTGACAACAGCAAGAAATAGTCATTGAGATCATGTGAAAAACAATATGAACAATTTCAGTTCTTCTGATATAATGTGATTCTCTTCAACTGTGTAAAAGGAGGAGATGAAGGAAATAAATAAACAAAGAGGAGAAAGCCAATACTTGACCTCCGCTGGATTGGACGCTGGGGATGGAAGCCTAATTGTTCCTACCAAAACCTCTCTCATCTCACAACGGTCAAATGTCTGTCTCTCTATAATACAAAGGAGATGGACACATTAATGCTGCAAGAGGCAGTAGTTTCTGCCTCTGCGATACAACAACTTGGAAACCGCTCACAAATACGATTGTACCTAAAAGCACTTAAAACTGGAAAAGGTTTTTTGTTTGCTTACCAAGTGAAATATACAATCAAGTTAACTAAAAAAAAGAGGGGGACTAACAAAGGAAACCAGGTAAAAACAATAGTTACAAATAAGGGAAGTAGATCAGTTGAGAAAGGTGAGATGGAGGTAAGAAACTACTTCAAAGAGTTCACACCAATATAAGGCTTACTATCAACAATAAACTCAAGAAACAATCAATGAATGGAAAGGTGATTCCATCATCTTAATATAAAGAAATAGGCCTATTTAACTACGACAAGAAAATTCAAATGATCTTCCAACTAATACTATGAACCTTTTCACTCTCCTAGATTTGCTCTCGTAAACACCACCTGAATCACTCATGAAAACACTGCATCACTCCTAACATGAATATCTGTGCTAGAAAAAGCCTTTGGCTTTCAGGGAAGACACCAGCCGGTAGGAAAAAACAGAACTTCACCTCCACCATCTAATCCAGAACATTTTAAACAATGGGGTTATAATCTCCATACAACCCTCAGGGTCTAAAGAAACACTTTCCAAAACTGGGACTCATATTATTTCTACACACACAGAGACTTCAAAATGTCTAGCTAACAGTCAAACTGTTCATAATAACACTCTTCCTGAATGTTTCCTCTTCAACTGGGAAAAACGCAGCATAAATCACACATAAAAAGTTTCAGTAAATTTTTCTCACTCGCTCATCTGTGATATGTACCTAGAACCAGCAAAGAAGGGCAGATCTATTTCTCAGCAGAATCCTCATTTCTTTAAGATCAACACTTCTCAATTGACCCCCTGTTCACTGCCACTGAGACAGCTCATAACAACAGAACTCTTCCTAAATTAAATGTTTTCCTCCTGACACTGGAATAAACGTGGTTCGCAGCGCACACGCTACTTTCAATTCATGTGTCTCAATTGTACATCTGCTTGAAGAACATAACCTCCAAATGACAC